CAAATGTTTAAACTCAATTATCTCGAAATGAGATAAATGTAAAAATGGGCCCTTTTAATTGAAGACACCCCATATTATCGTTTGATTTCAAAATTGATTTTTAGTATTCATATTGTGACTAGAGTCGCTTCACCATAAAATATTTGAACTAGCATAATTGAGAGATGTATCAGAATTAGAGTTAAAAAAAGCTTTTCAAGAAGGTTTATCAGAATTTGTATTTTGTTTTTAGTGGGAATTTTCAAACTCATCATGTATTATTGTGGTGTTGACCCTAGATCACCATATAGTGTTGTAATGATTTAGATCATTATTATGAGATACTTCAGAATGACTATCTAATTGATTCTGTATAGAATCATTATTCTGATCTTGTTTCTGCAAAAATCTAATATTATTAAAGACAGAAATAATCATATTGGCAGAAACTTTTGTGCGTGCTTTTTGGACAGTATCTTTTTCTGTATCTTTGTGTATCTGAATAATCATCTGTCATATTGCTAATACTTGAACTAATAATTAAGTAAGCTCTTGCTTTAAGTCTATTAATAGTATTATGATGCTTACCTCTAATTACTAAGAAATTAGAAGGTATGGCTTTGTCTAAGCTGAAACCAGTGTTATCACTCTGGTTGGGATTCAATAGCTTTAGTGTTTAAAGCTTTCAATGAATCAGTAAAAAAACGAGAATTAGTCATATACTTCTTGTCTGTTAAAAGCGTATTACAATAAAAGTTATGGTTTTTTGCTTGGTTAAAAGCTAAACTAGAAGTATTTATTATAGTATTATTGACTTTTGGTCGAGAACTATTTGCTGAACTATCTTTTAAACCTAAATTCATTTTTAGAAAGGCCAAATTGGTTTTAGCAATTGAGAAATCTGACATAAAATCTCTAGACATCTTAACACAATTTGTATTAATTTAGATTCTGTACATTAGATATACAATTAAAAACAATTAATAAAGACTCAATTTAAGGTTTTAAATAAAGTACACATAAATACGTATGTAAGTATAAAATTATAAAATATATCAGGCTTTATGCATATGATTATTATTATGTATATATAAAAATTTTGGATAAACCGTCAGATTGCACGAATCAATCTGAATTTCAGATTCATTTCAGTTTATTTGGTTCAATTCTGGATTAACCATCAGATTGGCCTCAGATTGTTTTTGGATCAATCTGAATTTTGAATTCAGATCAGATTCAGATCAATCCTGGATTAACCGGAATTTTTAATCTGATTTGGAACACTAATAGATACTTTTTAAAATTTTATATTGAGCTAAATAAGCAAGATATAAATCTAAAAATTATACAAAAAGTAGATCAAATCTAAAGCTTTTAAATAAAAAAAAGTTTGCAAAATTCTATGCAGTATTTTTTGAAATAATTAAATTTTAAAAAAATTTAAATTTTTTATTTGTATAGTTTACTAAGTTTTTAATATAAATTTTATTAAAATTTTTAGTATATATAAAACTTAATTTTTTATTATATAAACTAAACTTAATTATTAAGTAAATTTTGTTCAGTATAATAAACTATATATATTCTGAAATTTTATATTTTTTAAAAAAATATTTATAAAATTATTAAATATAATAATAAATTATTATTTCTAGAAATTTACCTATTTTGAATTTAATAATTTAATCTTTATATTTATAATAATATTAAGTTTAAAATTTTTTAAAATTTCTTAAAAATTTGGAATTATTCAGAATTTATTATATTGAATAAATTTTACATAATAAGCAAATTTAGTTTAATTAATAAAAAATTAAATTATAGTATTAAAAAATTATCTAAACAAATTTAAAAAATTACTATTTTTATACTTGTATAATATTATACAAAATTACATGATCTTAATTATCTCAAAAGTATAGTAAGGGTCAGATAGGTTAAAATCATATTAGAGGGGTGGCATTAGCAAAAATGGAGGTAGAAATAGCAATTCTCTAAATTTATTTGCTTGTTTAATTATTAGAAGAATTGAGGATATTCATATAATTAGTTAATTTTTGTAGATCTACCTGTAATTTATCATGAAGAATAACTAATCAAAATGTATAATTTTCCTATATACTAGAAAATGAAAAATTTTCACATAAGGCCGTTTGAAGTTAATTCTTTGGTTAATATCATCTTTAGAACTCTTGGAGAGGGAGAGGTGGGGGTAAAATAAAACGAACATATAAAAATAAGCCAATTTCATTGGTCGACGTAAATCAAGTAATTGGTGAAAGTTATCCAGTATTTTGATTGGTTGTTCATTTATCGGAGAGAAGACTTTAGCGAAGGGGGATATTAACCGAAGAATCAACTTCGAACGGCCTAAAAAAGTTTATAAATCTATAAATACATGCAAATGAATTTGTATTTTTAGTTATTATAAGTATAGCATTGAGATATAACAATAATTACTTTACTATAAATGAAAATATGACCCAAATAGTTTTTAGTATATTTCACATACAAAAAAGTAAAATTTGTCATACATAGTTTGCTTAATGATGACTTTTATTGCTTTATTGTTATATAGTTCATAGATTAATACTACGAAATAATAGTTTTGAACATGTGTCTCATTTATTTGTATAATTTGATAAAAATTTATCATGAAAAAACTCAAAAAAGATAAATATTTGTACCTTTTATTACTGCGGTTAAAACAATATTAATAATCAATAGATTGAATATACGTTAATGTTTCTCTGGAATGTTATTTTTAAATTTTTTAATTGAAATAAATCTTTACTTTATTTTTTTGTAAAAAAGTGACCAATCTTTTTACCAATATTTGCAAAACACAATATGATAAAGTGAATTTACACATTCAATTTTCAACTTGATATTTAAAATTTTTGACTCAAGTATCGGATTAATTATTTTTCATTTTATAACCTTATTTGAAGATTTTGTTTATTAGGTATAATCTATTTTTCATCATTATATTTAGAATTTTTGACTCAACATGTGTCATTTATTATTAGTGTTGAGTTATTTTACTCGAAAATTAATGTAGTCTGAATACAAAATTTTGATTAATTTTCACAAATGACTTATTTTTCATCTAAAGTTTAGTATAGCAGTATAAAATATATCTTGAAATAGAGTGTTTTGACTTATGTGATTTTAGAGATTTTTTATTGTTCGAATAATGAAAAATCCCTTAAATCGCATAAGTTTGGATACTCTATCTTGAAACTAGATAAATTCTACGATGAGCTGGTAAATTTAAGTTCATGGCATAGTCGATGTGTTTTTTTAATTAATCCTAACTATAGAAATGTGATCCGTAAACTAGTAGTTAATATAAATAAACTGTAGTTTATTGTAAAACTGTAGATTTAAAATAAACAACAGTTTATTTATATGTACTGTAATTCGTAGTTCACATTTCTTGCCGAAACAAAATTGTCATAGCAGATTCTTGATTTTGATTGACTAATGGCTGTGATTTATAAAATTTTGGACCGCATTATATAAATATTTACGTAATTTTTGCCCAGAATTAACTTTTTAACTTTTTATTCCAAAAATAGAAATTTTTAAGGAAGTAGCCAATCAAAACTGAGAATCTGCTATGAGATTTTGCAGTAGCTAGGTTCAATCATCTATACCTAACTGTATACCAATATCGATTAGCTAAAGTAAAATCATGACTACAAAGAAATTAATCATGATCAATTGAACGATATCTAATATTTTAGCTAAAATTCTTACTCCATTATAAAAAAATCTATAAACAGCTTATTTATAAAGAACATGACACTTATTTCAGCAATATATTTCAAATAAATATGTACTAAATGTATGAGATACAAGTATAATCAAAAAAAAACAAATTTCAAAAAAATTGTATTATTCATAAAATGTATAAACCAAGTATCTAATCATGAATTAATTGCATCCTCCTTTTGATTTATTGACTATTTCCTTTATTTTTTCTTCTTGTAGATCGTATACTTGATTTTGAAGTTCTTGCTTCTCCTTTTCAAACCTTTTTCTTAGTTCTTTTTTCCTTTTTCATAAATCATTTATTGTATGTATTAGCTGGTCACGATCTTTAATTATCTTGTTGATCTTATTTTTCAATTGTTTTTGTCTAGTTTCAGCTTCTTTGTTCTTGTTTTTTAACAAATTTAATTCTGTTACAAGTTCTTTACATTCTGCTTTAAACTTTATTTCGTTATTTCTGAGTTCTGCTTCAAGGTCTTTGATTGTGATTTCGAGGTCTTTGATTG